GAACCAGATGGCTCAGTCAGTCACTATACTCACTCTTTTCGTCAAGCGCGAACGGACAAATCTAAACATGCATCCAAGTTAGCGTCAGAGAGCTCGCCACAATGACAATGTATTTAGGCTTATAGTTGCGCGAGACCTTTGCGGCAACAGGAAATAAGAGAAGTCTCGAAATTAGACGCAGTAAGTGCGACGCCTGATCTTAACTAACATTACAAGCCAAAATAGATCAAAGGATGCTTTTCAAAGTGCCCGAACAACGCAGCCAGTATCCAGGAGGCGTGCTAGTTAAGGCGCGAATCTACTGACCGAAATATACGTGTTTTGAATCGAGTTCTGGATTTTTAAATGCCCCTGTCTTGACTCGAGCAGTCTGACAGGATATCAGCCCTCATTCTTCAGTCGTGCGACGGCTACGCACAGAAGCGAAGCTAAACATCACATCCTAAGCCGGACCATAAACAACACAACTAATACCCCCGTGGAAGCCCTAACCGTAAGGTTTTCATCAGTAGTATCAAACGGATAAATGTGCACATCGATGTTTCACTCAATAGCATGGTGGTAAGCTTATCCGCCGAGCTCTAACGAAGTCTGTCAAGTCCAAACTGACACCAGTTAGGGTGCAGGTTCTGACGCGCTTCAAGCAGTAGTCTTAGCCAACCTTACAGCCGTCACATCCAAATCTTACCAAATATACTTAAACTCAGTTGCTCTTCTAACAGGTCTTCATCAGACTGGGATTGCTGCGAGACTCTGCTTCGTCACAAGCAGATCTCTTAGAGGAATACAGGCCGATCCTCGTCAGGTGCAAAAGGTCCAGTTCCCGGGGCCATAAATATGCCTTTGGTCACAACAAACTCCCTAAGCAATAACACGGATTCAGAAATTATCACTCGTGTGCAACTAATTTGTTAAATGTTTCTAGTGACTGGACATGCAGCGGGTGTTGTTTCTTCTGGCAGCTTTATTGGTTACCAGCTGACCGTGGGGTTTGCACTCTCAGTTTGAACGTGGTGGTGTTTTCGGCAAGCACTGCTTCAACCTGAGGCCTGTTCAAGACCGGTATAACTCACTGGAAAGGACTTCCCCTGCATAGTGGACGACTACGCTGGTGCTCTAGAGTGGGCGAACGGCCCATCATGTGAACTTGTGTTCTAATGGTGAACTGATGTCTGCATGGGTGCTGGAAATCTAGTATAACTTTTTGTATGTGGTCTTCACAGAGCGCTCGATGTTTAAGACTATGAAAGTCAAGCCGTTTGGGCCTTAACTCATGGAACTTATTTCCCATCCGCTCGTCCTGCATCAGTTTCTCAAGCAAAATCTGCGCATCATCATTCTGCGCCGACGTCCTATTGCATCCCCAAGTCGATCTCCACGTTTCAGAGCCCTTCTCTGTGGCTGCTTTCACTCCTCGCACTCGGAAGCAAGCAGGACGGCAAGCTGCTGTCGCTCTCATACTGAACTCGCTTGATATTGATGTGTGCTGTTTATCAGAAGTGTATGGGAGCGAAGCTTCAGTGTTGAACAATGATATGCTGTCGCTGCTGCTGCTGCTGCTGCTTGTGGCGTGATCGTGATTGTTGTTGGTGATGATGATGGTCATGATTATGTTCTATAAAGCACCACCCGGCTCAAAATGGGAGTGAAATCCTCAGTCAGTGCTTGTGCGATCTGTTTTCTGGCATAAGGGATAAGAAGGCTTCTAGATAACTGGATGATAATGCTCATTTTAAAAAAAATACAAGTTCATAGTATGTGTGGTGACCAAAATGGAATCAGCTTGGCCCCGTTTTGACGGAATTGCTGGCTTTATAGTGGCTCGTGAAACACTGACTCGAGAACAGCAAGCAGGTTTACGATCTGGTAGGGATTGCGTTGAACAAGTCTTCACACCCAGTCAGGTACTAGAACAATGCCGTACGTATGAACGACCCACAAGTTTAGTATTCCTAGATTTTCAAGGTGCACTCGATTCGCTTGACAAATCTCCTTGACGCGCTTGCCCATCAAGGAACACCCCTGAACTTTGTGAACATAATAAGTTGCGTGTATTCTCAGACTTCCGGACATGTCACAGTTTACGGAGAGCTCTCCAAAGGCTTCCGTATACAAAGCGGTGTCCGTCAATGGCGCCCACTCTATTCCCTTTTTATTTCGTGATCGGTGAGATACTGAGACGAGCGCTGACAGGCCCTCATAACTCCTGTGGTCAAATAGCCTGTGACGAAAACCTTATTGATCTGCAATATGCAGATAGCATCGTTCTCGTCTTCGAAGAGGAGAAGGCGCATGTGCCTTTGGATGAACTGTCGAAGACATCCCGTCTTCGGTATACAATTTTCACCCACAAAGTGTAAGGTCATGCTAGTGGACATGCAGGTATTGAACACATGTCTCAGAATCTTTGGAGGTGCTGTTGCTGTTATGGAGACTTCTACGTATCTTGGAAGTTGTAATCTATTAGTGACAGATAAGGTTATTGCACGAATCCCTGAGGTTCGGGTCGCGTTTGCTAATTTGAGACGCCTATGGCGTCAGACTGGTTTATCCCTGTCAGCGAAATACCTCTTGTCAGCGAAATAATCAGGGACAAAAATGGCTCCCTGATATGCAGCAAAACAGAACGTTTAGACCGCTGGGCACAGTATTTCGAGCAGCAGTTCAGCTGGCCACCTGCCACCTCCACTCCAGAAACCTGGCCTTCAACAGAAAGGTGGACCGTAAATATGGAGCCTCCTTCAGTCTCAGAAGTGTCCGAATGCATTTCTC